CAAGAAGAGGGCGAGAATTCCTTCTCTCTCGCGCTCGCGGTTCCTTCTTCGTTTTATTTCTTATACTCCAGTTTAATTAGTTCCCCGATAATGCCCGCTATCTCTCCTTCGCAGAGCGCGAGGCGAGGAACTCTCCCCGAAGCCAGGAAGTCTGAACATACCGACCCGTCCGGCTCGATTGGTCCACCCAGCATCCCGCAGTGACGTTCCACTGATCGGCTCGTCGAATCTAATTTCTCAACGATCGTCGCGTGCAGACGTACTCGCTTATGTATATGTATCTACAGGTTGTCACCGATGCAGGAATCCAATGTACATCTCAACATTCTTTTATATATGCTACGACCATTCGACGAGATTCCGGTAATTTTGAGGACACGTGTATCAAAATGGTTTCTAAAAGTCAAAAAGTCATTATGTTGTTTTTCGAAAATAATAGGGAACAAATTCTGTATGATTTCTCATCACGTCTTTACGACTTCAATTCGGATTAAATATTAAGTAAGAATATTTTTTCAGTATTTTGTATGCAATAGAAGTTCGATAAGCAGAAAAATATCAGATGCAAAATCTATGAAATATTGACGGGTAAAAACCTAAATGACTAAAATTTTACATAAAGATTTATTGAACTTTTTCAAAAATTTCTTTTATATCATTTATTTTTTACGACACACAGTTTAATTTTTATTTCACAATTAAACTCAAGTTGACATGTGTTTTTATATGGAAATATCTTATTTCTAATCATACGTCTAATAATGCTTAAGTAAACTTAAGTAATAAAAACCAACCGTGCCATTTATCTTTGGTTGTAAAAAATACTCTTAAAAATAATTACTATTTTTGCGTTGTCAATGATATCATACCAACGACCTTATCCAAGTTATCTTATCTTTGAAATTTCAAAGCTTATAAATGACCTGTACATCAAAATTGACAGTAAGTTTAGAGAACTCAATAGCGCAGTCATAATCATATTATAATAATGTTGTCAAAATCAATTATAATAGTGCCGATTTTATGGATTGTTGCTGATGCTGCTCGCATTCTTGTAATCATTCCGGAGCCATCTTACAGTCATCAGGTTTTTATATCATTATTTTTCTCTTTTATATATAAAAAAGATTTTATTACACCTTATATTACAAAATAATTTTTGTAAAATTCTTTCTTTAAATCATTTTTTTCTTTATTTCGTTTCTTTAGATTATTTTTAGACAATGCGAGCGTCAATAAAAAACGTCTTTCTGCATAACTTTAAAATACATATTGTGTCTTTGTCCAATCTTCAAATCTTTCTAATTTTTTAAATTGTATATACTATTCTATAGTATAGGCAAACTAACTTGACCAATTTTAGCCTAAAAAAACATTAAAATTTTTGCACTTTATTTGAATCGATGATTTTTTCAATTAATTTTTCTTTTATTTCTAATGTTCGCTCATGTAATTTTGCTAATATATGTTTCGATAATTGACGAAATACCAATAAATAGATTGACAACACATTGTTGAACGTACACAATTCAAAAATCTACGAATATTCCTGCGCGCGGCGAGTAATCTGCAATCATACATATAACTTTGCAACGAAATAGCACGAGGTTCCTGGTCGATCGGCACCAGTCGGCCGAAACGCCGACAATAACTCGCGCCTTCCGCGTACGAACCGCGTAGCCGATTTCCAGGCAAGCTTCCAACCAGGAAACGATTCGGCCTGTCCAAGTCGTATGTTTGTTTTGGAACAGCCGCAATGTACTTCCCTCCTCCCATCCTTCTCTCTCTCTCTCTCTCTCTCTCTCTCTCTCTCTTTCTCTTCTACCGACTCTTGTATGGGTCGCCCTTCTGGTCGTGGTGACGTCGCAGCCGCTATCACCCACCGCCACCCATCGTCCATCCGATATGCGAACCCA